ACAACAAAACGGGCCTGGAACATCTTGCCATACACCCCAAAAAAGGAGCAATCAAAAGCTCTTTGATTCCCGTCAAATTAGGATTAAATATGAAGAAGTCTGAAATGAGACAATGTGAAATCAATAAAGATAATACCTACAATGGACGGAAGCATATAAAATAAGTTTTAACTCATGAGTTTACAAACGGAGTCATTCTGAAAAACAGTAAAGGGAAAGAATCAAGGGTTTATGTTATTTTTCCTAAACAGATTGTATATCATGGTAATCAAATAATTGATAAGATGAAGTCCTCTTTTATTATTATTATTATTTATTGATTTGAGAGAGAGAAAAGGGAGGGAAGGGGAAACACTGATCTGTTGTTCCACTTATTTATGCATTCACTGGTTGATTCTTGAATGTGCTCTGACCAGGAATCGAACCCACAACCTTGGCATATCAGGACAATACTCTAATCAACTGAACTCCCTGGCCAGGGCAGTACAATCTTTAGAGAAAGATTTTAACTAATAAATAGGGAAGGAATTATACAATTATATTACTTGCACCACAAAGATAGAACCGAATATTGTATCTCCAGGTAGAAACACATAATATCATATATAAAGCATTCTTGCCTTATCTGTTCTCCCAGGCCCCCAATAACTCTTAAATTTGAACAATCCTTGAGATATAGTTAGCAGTTTACCAGGAAAGTAAGTAACAAAGGAACAGACAATGCCCAAGTATTCAATCAGAAAAGTCTAGACCAGTGGTTCTCAACCTTCCTAATGCTGACCCTTTAACACAGCTCCTCCTGTTGTGGGCGGGCCCATCTGCGTGTGGGCGGGCCCATCTGCGTGTGGGCGGGTCCAGCTGCGTGTGGGCGGGTCCAGCTGCGTGTGGGCGGGCCCGCCTGGAGACGGACAGAGGAGCCATGTCTCGGTTCCTAAGACCACCGGAAATACATGTTTTCTGATGGTCTTAGGTGACTCCTGTGAAAGGGTGGTTCCCCCCCAAAGGGGTTGCGACCCACAGGTTGAGAACCGCTAGTCTAGACTATTGTGACATTCACAAGACAAATGATAAAAAAAAAAAACCATAAGACGTAAGAACCAAGGCAGTATATGGACATTATATGGAATAGTAACAATATTTTATCACATGATCTCACTGATATGTAGACTCTAATGAACAAAATAAACTGACGAACAAAATAGTGCCCGGATATGGAGGCAGGGCACAGACTGACAGATCTCAGAGGGATGGGGCAGAGAGGAACCAAAGGACACATACGCAGGTATGAATGGCCCATGGACACACAGAAAATAGTAGGGTGAAGGCCCTGGGTGGGGCGGAGCCGGCTGGAGGGAAGTAAAGGGGGGAAATGGGTGACATCTGTAATACTCGCAACAATAAAAATAAATAAATAAATAAGGGTTTCAAACAGCTGGAAAAATCTGAAGACAAATATGTGTTTGTTTTTTTTTATCCTCACCTGAGGACATTTTTCCATGTTTTGTTCAGATAGAGTGGGAGGGAGAGAGAGAAACATCGACGTGAAAGGGACACATCCAGTGGTTGCCACCCACACGACCCCAACCAGGGCCGGGGACAAACTGCAACCAAGGTACATGCCCTTAGCAGAAACCGAACCCGGGTCTCTCTGGACCGCAGGCCGACGCTCTAACCGCTGAGCCAGACCGGCCAGGGCTATAATATGTTTTAATATTGAATTAATGTTTATTTTTTTTTAAAAAAAAAAGGTGTGAAAATGATAATGTGGTTATGTTATGGGAAAGAGAACCTGGCCCTTGGCAGGTCTGCCTGGGCCAGCAGGGTGTGGGTTCTTGACTTCCTGCAGGGAAAGTTTGAATTTCGGGACCTTTGTTACATCTGGGACAGAGAAACAGGGAAGGGCTCGGGACATGAGCCAAGGCTGGGCTGCTCTGGCTCACTAAGAAGCCAGAGAAAAGGGGGCCTTGGGGCCAGGTTCAGAGCGTTTGCCTGAGATGAAATGCCACCACCCACTGCTGCCCGGATGGCAGGGGTCTCTTAGAGTGTAGGAGATGCTGCCGAGGGGGTGGGGGGGTGCCGGCACGTTCCTGGGAGGGAGCAGTGCTGGGACCTGTGTTTTCAGAGGGTTTAAAGGCTGGGTGTTTGGGGGAGGTCTTAGGGGTGGATCTCAATGGAATATTCATCAGCTTTATGCTGATGTAACAAAACGAGGTTTATTCTCTTAACTTCATCTGTCCTTGGATGTGGTTGGCAAATGGCACTAACTGGATTTCTGCTGTCTGTCTCCCTGAACAGGGTGATTAAACTATCTACCCTCTGGCTGGGGAGAAGTGTCTCTGGTTTAGGCAAGATAAGATTTACTAGATGGCTGCAAACTGCTGTTTACCAGCCTCAGTTTCCCCGTTCTGCTTGTCCTGGCTTACTGGCCTGTCTCAGTGATATTTTTCTATAACCTTTTCTTCTGAGATATTTCCAATTGGAATGATAACTGGGACTTGCTTCAAAATAATCATGGTGCCCTGGCTGGTTTGGCTTAGCGGTTAGAGTGTCGGCCTGCGGTCCAGAGAGACCTGGGTTTGGTTCCCGCTAAGGGCACGTACCTCGGTTGCAGTTTGTCCCCGGCCCTGGTTGGGTAGTTCAGGTGGCAACCACTCGATGTGTCCCTTTCACATCAATGTTTCTCTCTCTCTCTCCTTCCCACTCTATCTGAATAAAAAATGGAAAAAGGTCCTCAGGTGACGATTAAAAAAACAAAAAACAAACAAAAAAATCAAAATAATCACGGTGTGGGGAAAAGGGAGGTGAGACCGGGCCAGAGGGTGGACAGTCCAAACTAAGTTGGCCGTGAGTGATGATTTTGATGCTGAATGATGAGATTCATTACAGTCACCTCTCTACTTTTAAACATGGTTGGAAGTTACTCTGACAAAAAGCTGGATAAATTAATGAGTGGGTGAGTAGCAGGTGGGCCGGCGGCTGACAGACGGAAGAGACAGGTCTGTACCTACAGGTCTACAGTCCCTCAGACACAACTCTGAAACCTAAAGAATCTCTAAGAAGGCTCTCTGACCCTTTCCCACGGCACGGAGGGACCTGGAGGGCATGAGGCTGAATGAAATAAGCCTGTCGGAGAAAGACAAGTATCACATGATCTCACTTACATGTAGAATCTAAGGAACAAAATAAACTGATGAACAAAACTGGTCCAGACACGTGGATACCTGGAACAGGTTGATGAATCAGAGGGAAGGGGGACAGGAGGGCGGGAAGAGATTAACTAAGGAATTTATACGCATGTAGGCATAATTCATGGACACAGACAACAGTGTGGGCAAGACCCAGGCTGGGGTGGGAGCGGGGGGGGGAGGGGCTCAACAGGGGGAAAAGAGGGGGGATATCTGTAGCACTTTCAACAATAAAGACAAATTAAAATAAATAGAAAAAAAATAGTGCCTGCAATTCACTGACCCGGCGATGGGACCTGGACTGACAGGACTCACACATTCACTGCAGATGCGCAGCAGTGGGCAAAAGTGGGTTATAGCTGTGAGCAGCCGGAACAGAGTTCATTCTTCTATTCTTATTAATTCGTATTTTTCTATATGAACAACTGAAACCTACTTCTGCCCATCCCTGTATAAAATTTGTTTGATTATGGGATGCTTCCTCAAATCCTATTTAGAATATTACTTAAATTTTAAAAATCTAAAAAATTTCAATTCCACAATACATCTGTCCCCAAGAGTTGGGATGAGAAGATTTGTAGACTTGTATTTACACGGAAAGGATCTAAATATTAAGTAAATAAAGTATGTTACAAAATACTATGTATTTTATGAGCACATTATCATCCATTAATGTGACTATTCAAATACGGGAACAATTAAAAGCTTTCTTAAAACAGTAGCTGTTATTAGAGAATAGTATCATAAAAACTTTCATTTAAATACTTTCTATTTCTGAATTTTTACAGAATTTACCAGCATGTATATATTACTTTTTAATTTAAAAATGTATGATTTTATAATTAAAAACAAGACTCTTTAAAATATACAGAATTTTCCTAAATGGGGGAACAGTACTGAGGTAAAATATTAGTTCTCCCCTCTACTAACTACAGAAACATGGCTGACACAACAGCATCTTAGTGAACTATTATTTTATTTTTTCTTTATTTATTTTCTTTGTTGATTTGAGAGAGAGAGGAAGGGAGAGGGAGAGAGAACACTGACTGGCAGCCTCCTGCGTGCCCCCCACTAGGGATTGGGCCACAACCTGGGCATGTGCCCTGACCGGGAATCGAACTGGCGACCTCTTGGTGCAGGGTCGACGCTCAATCCAGGGAGCCAAACTGGCCGGGCTTGATGAACTATTTTTAATAAAACATCCAAAATTACATCCCTAATTACTAAAGACATTGTGAGCATATTATTTGTGAACAGTATTTTAAATATCAGAACTAAACAGGAAAGTGGCAAAAAGAGGAAACCGAAATCCTCCCCTTCTTCATATGCATTTCCAGACTCCTGTCCGTGGATGTCCAATCAGACTGGAGCCTCACCGGGCCAGTTCCTCCCGGGCACACCGGGCGGTAAGAGCTACGTAAGCTCTGGGGTGCTGCTGAGAGCCGTGGCGGTCACAGCGTAAGCCCACGGCCCCGGCGCGTGAACACGGCACGCACTGCTAACGCTGCCGCTGCTCCTCCAGGCGCGGCCGCTCCGCCCACCAGGGCTGGGTCGGGTCGGGAAGAAGCGCCAGGGGTCCCCTGCAGTTTCCATGTCAGACAGAGGCTGCGCCTTAGTTTCACTCCCTGTTACCGTGAGATCTGGGGGAATTCCATACAGAAGTTTTTATTCCGAATCAAACTCTGTGAACTTGCAAATAAACTTTTTGTCTCTGAGAGTTAGTTACTAACACATTGTGTTTATAAAATAATAAATTTATTTTAACTAAAATGAAAAAATGTAATCTACATGATTATTTTCATATCCATTACTTACCCTCTTTCATATGTGAATTCATCTTTCAGGGAATTAGCTGATGATTCACCAATAAAGACAGATGGTATATCAATTTTCTTTAGCACACCAACTGCATAAAACAATAATAAAATTATTCTCAAAAGCCTATACTTAATGTACAATCAACTTAATTTTCTTCATAATAGCAGCACAGCCAACTGGAAATAATTACAATCAACTCAAATTGTATATTGGTTGATTTACCCAACTGTAGATTTATACCATCATCAAAGTGACTGAGATGTATCACACTTACAGTAACAAAAGCTAACATTTACATATATATCATCATACTATCTCAAGAGTCCTCAGATTGGAATTATTTTTAATATTTCCATCTGACCTATTCTTGACAGACATAAGTAAGTATTAGAAAAGGAAGAAGAGAGACTTTAATTCCTGAGTGGGAAAGTGAAAAGGCTTTAGTACATACCCATTCCCAGGAGCAGTGTGCGCCCAGGGATGTGACGGCCCCTCAGAGCGGTCTGCAAAGGGCAGCACTCGGCTGGCTCCCAGAGGGGAGGCCGACCCGCTGGAAGGCACAGGGCGGGAAGCTGGGTGAATTTCCACTTCCCCCTAACCCAGGACTTCACAGGAAAGCTTTGTGTTCTGACCAGTGTCCTAAGAAATGTGACCCTTCCTTCTATAGTATTACTAAGCCAAACTCAAACACCAAGAGAAAAGAAACAACGTTGTAAAAATTACCCATGAGGAAGAGAAAGAAAAACACCCTCTTAATGTGACTACAGAAAAAGCAGCCTTGTTTTCAGTGGTGAGAAAGCCCATTTGTTTTCTTTTGTTATATTTTTCACAATAACTTTGCTCTACATTTCTTTAAAAATGCATTTTCATTATTTATTTTAATAAAGTGGGGGGAATACAAGAAGAAAACAAAATTCAACCATAATCCTTTCCATCCAAAGACAAAGGTTTTATTTTAGTAAATCTTTTGGGTTTTTTGTTTATTGATTTTAGAGTGAAGAAGGGAGGGAGGGAGGGAGGGAGAAAGAGATAGAAGAGGTGAGAGCGAGAGGTGAACGAGAAACATCCATCTATTGCCCCCCATATGTGCCCTGCCTGCAACCTGCGTATGTGCCCTGATTGGGAACCGAACCCGCGACCCTTCCGTTCATGGGAAGATGCTCCAACCAACTGAGCCACCTGGTCAGGGCACCTCTGTTTTCACAAATACATGTAATTATGTAACCACCACCACAATCAAGATATAGAATGTTCTATCACCCCTCAAAATAATCCCCTGTTGCCCCTTTATACTCAACCCCTGCCCCCAACCTAAGCAGACACTGTGTCTCTCTTTAATCCTTACAAAGGCAAGTATTAATGTTTTAAACTCTTGGTATCCCTTGGTAGAATATATTTTTTTCACTTCCAGATTGGTTTGTTTTATGAAAATATAATCATTCATTCCCACTTGTTTTCTCCCTCTCTCTCTCTCTCACAAACACACACCCCATATAAATCCCAGAAGGGCAGGAACCAAAACGGTTAGTAAAGGGATATTTAACCACTACTTTTACCTCAGTAGGATCAATTGTCGCATCCACGGAGTCACATCATCATGGAGACAGTGTGAGCTTTTCCTCCCCTCAGTGACACACCCCCAAGATCCCGACATGTCAGTCAAGACCCACCTCACCTTTTCCAATAGCTGCAGAGATACTGATACAATCACACACACTGCAGGGAGAGGTGTCCTAGTTTGTTAAGAGATCTTTCTCTAACACACAGCTTACAATTTAGTTTATTTGCTAATTAAAAGTTGGGATTATATCCCCTTTGTAAGATGAATGTTTTACCCTTTCACGAAGAGACTGATAAACCAGAGAGAAACCTGGGCTGTAACCAATGGCTTGTGATCATTTGTAGTAGCAGAACTCTCTGACTTATGACACCTGAAGGATATGGAGAGCCCCTCACTTTAGGCAGAAGGCTAAGAAGAAGGGGGCAATGCTGTATGCAAATATGAACAGCCATATTTCTCTCTGCAACATAAGGGACACGCTGCAACATTATTTATCTACTAAAAACATGATCTAGTTCACAAAATACTTTAAAAACACTAAATTTTAATTCTGATCCACAAAACAATTTTGCAAAGAATACACTGCCAAACAGTGTTACTGTGTCACAGACAAATCATAATTTATTTTTTAATATGTTTTTATTCCTTTTGGGGGGGGGGAGAAACATCGATGTGAGAGAGAAACATGAATTGGCTGCTCCTGCACGCCCCCCACAGGGGATCAAGCTCGCACCCTGGGCATGTGCTCTGACCGGGAATCGAACCAGGACCTCTCGGTCCATGGGACTGATAATCAATCCACTGAGCCACACCAACTGGACGACAGATCATAATTTAAATGGCCAGCCCCAACCTCTACAGATTCGTCCTGCCTGTTGGCCACCTCCACTAGACAGCCTAACGGACGCTGCCAACGTCATGTTTCAGCTGGGATTCCTGTCTCTGCTCTGCCCCAGCCTCTCTTCCCTGTGAGGAGCGCGGCCACCCCCGAGTTTCCCAGGGCAGCCCTCCTGGAGCCCCGCTTGCCTCCTCCCGAAACCGCAGCCTGATACCGCAGCCCGCTGCTTCCACGGAGCTGTGCGCGCGGAGCCTTCCACTGCACCGGCCCTGCTCCAGGCGGGGAACCTCACACGCGCTTCCCGCAGGACAGGCTGCCCAAAACAGTCGCTGCGGGAAGAAAGCAATGCAAGACAGGGCAACCAAACCCAGACATGACGACCCCTCGCCCTGGTCACACGGGTGGGCACTCGCACAGCCGCGCTCACACCGGAGGCTCTGCCACGGCAGGGTCTTCTCGTACCTGCTCACATGCTCGCCACAACCTCGTTAACTGTTTTTAATCCTCACCCAAGGACATTTTTTCTTTTTCTTTTGTTTTTTTCTTTGTTTTTAGAGTGGGAGTGAGAGAGAAGAAGAGAGAGAGAGAAACATCGACGTGAAAGGGACACATCGAGTGGCTGCCTCCTGCACGACCCAACCAGGGCCGGGGACAAACTGCAACCGAGGTACATGCCCTTAGCAGGAACCGAACCCGGATCTCTCTGGACCACAGGCCGACGCTCTGACCGCTGAGCCAAACCGGCCAGGGCATCTTATTTTAAATAAAAATTAAAATTATTCACATTTTTACAGATGAAAATAAAGGACTTAGAAAGGTTAAGTAACTTTCCCAAGGGCGCAGGTATGTAAAATCCCTTCATCAATTCCTCCAATTCCCAAGTAGTGGTTGTGAAATGGTTGTGAAATGCTAGAGCCTCTTAAGGGTGCTTTATGATTCTGTAATCATGGTGATTTAATCAGCTATAAGATTAAAATAATAATGTAAAGTATAAAGAAATTAACTAAGAAACTTATTCCTAAAATTTTTCTTTTTATATATTGTAAGTCTGCCTCAGATTATATTAGGGGTAAGAAGGAAAAAAGTTCTACTCCAACAACATAAAATGCTGTCTTATGCTGTACAAAGTTATTTTTGGTCAAGGAATCCAAAATATTTCCTATTGAAGATGTCCTAAGTACACCAACAAAATATATATAATAAATAAATACAGAAAGTCCTAAATGCATCCCAGTGTGGTGCATCAGCCCACAGCCCTATGTCTGCTCCTTACTCCAAGCCCCTGCTTGCATGTGCGACTCAATGAAGTAGCAGGAGGTGTGATTATGTACTAAAAGGAAAACAAAAACAAAATACCCAGTCATGAATGCTGGCAGTGTATCTTCGGTTCTGAACCCAATTTCCAACATACGTGTGTGTGCATGCCTGCGCGCGTGTGTGTGTCCCACACCATCAAACAATTAACTTCAACTCAAGTCTGACACTAAGTAGCCAGAGACAGCATCAGATTCCGCAGTTTAGGGTTTAATCTCATGAGATTAGATGCCCCGCCTCCAGAAGCCGTTACGAATCCACGGCGGCAAATGTGCTTCTGACCGTAGGTTGGAGGTTCCACCCTACCTTGGGTCCAGTTACTTTGCTCCAGCAGCTCATGAAACTCAGAGATCTTTGACTTCTAGAGCACCAGGCGGACAGGCAGAAGAGACGGACAGGGCAAGGCGCGTGGGAAGGGCCCGGAGCAGCTTCCACGCCCATCCAGCCAGTTCTCCCGCACGTCTGCCCACCAACCCGAAAGCTTCCAAGCTGCCCGCTGTTCTCTGCGGAGGCTCCATCACACAGGCAGGAGGATAAATCACAGCCACTGGACCTCCAGCCCCTCTCCCTTCCCCAAGGCGGGGGCACTGAAAGGCCCAGCCCTCTAATCACACGGTTGGTCCTGCCGGCAACCAGCCCCCAGCCTTACATGGGGTCCAAATACCATCACCTCATCGACACAGCAGAAGACATCTTTCATCACTCACTAATACAGTAGAAGTGCACAGCTTAAAACTGACTTTGACTAAAGCCAGTTATGCCATTGAAATGGGCTCTTTCTCCCGACAAGCCAATATTTAGCATAGATTAAGGAATGATATTCCCACTTCCGTGGAAAGCTACCGACATGCCATGTGTGTCAAGTGGCTGATAACCAAGTGGTGTTTAAGAAAGTATAAGGCTTTCTGCCCTGGCCGGTTTGGCTCAGCGGTTAGAGCATCGGCCTGCAGTCCAGAGAGACCCGGGTTCAATTCCCGCTAAGGGCACGTACCTCGGTTGCAGTTTGTCCCCGGCCCTGGTTGGTCGTGCGGGTGGCAGCCACTCGATGTGTCCCTTTCACATCGATGTTTCTCTCTCTCTCTCTCTGTCTCTCTCTCTTCCTCTCTCTCCCTCCCACTCTACCTGAACAAAAAATAGAAAAATGTCCTTGGGTGAGGATTAAAAAAAAAAAAAAAAGTATAAGGCTTTCAAAGAAAGGTTTTGAAATTCCACAAGAATGCAGGAGCCTCATATCCAAAAATGTAATCTTATAAATCTCTAAATAAATCACAAAAATTATTTGATGGCATCTTTAACTCAGCATATTTATCTCTATTTAAAGCTTTGGTTTTCCTTTGGTTTTTACCAAAATATCACTACATCTTCTACCATGAAACACATCGGTTTAAAAAAGACTGTTTGGAAAAGAACAAGTCAATTCCTTTTCTACTGTGAATAAAATTGTCCCAAGGGAGTTAAAAATTGGGAATCACCTCTCTGACAGAAAATAAAATTTGCTTTTTGAATAGAAAATGGGAGAAGAAAATCATGTTAATCTTAGTTCTGAAAGATCTGTCAAACAGGAGAGAAGAAAAGTGATACCTGTACTTACTGTCGTTGGATCCCATGCTAATGAGCTCATCTGAGTCAACATTGTGAACTATGGCTGCTTTGTATCCTGCTCTCTGAGCATTTAAAACCTGCAAGTCAGAAAACAGTCATGACATGAGGAAGACAGTGCTTTGTCAGAAAGTCCCTCAACTTCAACAAACAAGTCTATACCAGATATCTAGGACTTCTTATATATCTCATGTATAAGAATAGATATCAAATGTGTTCTTGAAACGTAAATGGATGTTTTACAACTGATTATCAAGGACCTCTTTAGCTATCTTCTTGATCTCATTCACGGCATTAAGTGAAATAAGAAGCAAATAAAAGACAGGGATACACACTGAAATACAAAAAGGAGCCAAAACAATAAACCCCAGCTCTAAAGAGACAGAGACTTGCTCTGACCAGGCCTGGGCCATCAGCCTTTGGGTTCGAATCTGCCTCCACTGCTTACAAGTGGGATACACTTGAGCAAATTATTTTTCTGCCTTATTTCTCAGTTTCACCAATTTTAAAATGAGAATAACGACAATATTTTTCTCATGTAAAATAATATTAAAATGATTAATACTATGTCTAACATGTAGAAATGATTCAAATAAAAGCTACTTTTGTAAATTGATTTCATCAACCGTGTTATTTAGAATTCGTTTCTAAAGCGTTAAAATAATTAAAATACCTCCAGCCACAGTTGTTTATTTTGGTTCTATGTAGCTATTTCATCTTTCCTAAAGCTAGTCTCCAAAGTAGTGACTTCTGCATCATAAGAAGAGAGCTAGACATGTGACAAATTTTCTCACCTGAAAGATCTGAAAAGTACCCAAACATGTTACCATATCTCATTTAAAAATCACAGTGTTTTTGCCCTGGCCAGTTTGGCTCAGCGGTTAAAGCCTGCAGTCCAGAGTTCCGGGTTCGGTTCCCTCTAAGGGCACGAACCTCGGTTGCAGTTTGTCCCCGGCCCTGGCTGGGGTGTGGATGGCAACTAGTCGATGTGTCTCTCTCTCTTCCCCCCTCTCTCCCTCCCACTCTATCTGGAGATAAATGCAAAAATGTCCTTGGGTGAGGACTCAAAAAAAATCACAATGTTTTAAATAAAAATAAGCCCAAACCTAAGCTACTCAGTATATAACATTTGAACCATTGGTAAAAAAATGAAGGATTAGATCATTATTTGCATATTGGTTAAATAAAATAAAAATTAGGTAGGCAATATATATATATATAAACTATACATATTATATATACTATATACATTATATACAAAAAATATAATTTTGAAAATTTATATAGTTTTGAATACTTAATATGGTAAGAAGCTCTTGAAATACATCATCTTATGATCATTGCCTAGTGACAAGTCTCTCAGTGTTTCTTTATAATAGTTATACTTCTAAAGAACAGAAAATTTAATTTTTTAAAAAAATTTCCAGAAAGTCTATTAATTGTTTTAGTTATTGGATTATAATGACTCAAAACTCTACTGTAACTCAATAAAAATAAAACTTGAATCGAGTTCCAAAGAATAAGGAAAAGCTCAAAGAGTCAATCGAGTTCACAAGAGCACAAAGAAGAGCCCAAGTATGAGACAGACTCCGGATCTGAATGGCAGGGAAGGAGTGAGGCTCATGGGCTCAACCCCAGCCGGGCAGGCTGGCTTTGCACGGGTGAAACTCTCCTGCATTACCCATGACTCCTCGAACACTATCCTACACATGCAAGTTGGGTTTCTGAAAGACAATAATGTGGATAAATCTGAATAATTTATCCTATCACTGAAAAAAACTGAACAGTCGGAGATGAGAACGCCTAAAAAGATTTAATACTATAGCATCTACAAAATAGTCAGACACAGAGCAGGAACTCATTAAGTATTACTTGAATGAGTAAATGTATAAAATACGTGCTTAAATTAATAGCTCACATAATATTACGAACACAAGAGAGAAAATTAGGCAGAGAGTTTTAAAAAACTAATTAAAATAGCATAAAGAGTTGACTGACACAGTACCTACTGCTCTAATGTTAGGAATAATGGCAAGAAAAGTTATAAGGAATGTTTTGCGGTCATGCAAGAAAAAGTAAATAATAAAGAAAGCAAGTTTACTATTTTTGGTCAGTATGTAGACGCTTTATTTTTAGGTGGATTTGTTATCCAAATAAAACTGAGACAGTGCCAGCCTTGTAGCTGCTTCCCCACTGATATCACTGCTTTGGGGGGGGGGGGGGTTAAAAAGGTTATTATAATTTCTAAAACCTTACTTCTTACTTATATATTAATCTATTACTTATTCATTAAATTACCACAGAAGTACAGATTTCACTTAGCTTCCATTTAAACAAAAGTATACTTGGTTGGGGTTGCTATTAGTTTATCTGTTGCTTTAATGACCTAAATTTTAACCCCAAAAAGCAGTTAACTAAGTCACTGAGGAGAAACGTTTACTTTACATATCCCAAAAACAACTGTTCCCAGAAATACAATGTAATATAAAATTGATATCAAAGCTGCTCTCTGCTAATAGAAAACAAGTTTACGTTTCTTTTTAAAGCTGACTAATGCACACCGTCATTGAAATTACATAACTTGTTTTCCTGCAAACTATGTATTTGTGAGCAGAGACAACGCATTAGGACACAGAGGCAGGTGCTGCTAGGACCACGTGCAGAGCGAGAACGCGGGTCCGCGCCTGCGGAGCTCACGAGGCAGGGCTGTGTGCCGGGCACCGCAGGGCCCACGGCCAGGCGGAAACCGCAGGAAAAGGGGCGCGTGCGCGTGCGCACCCGGGCCGCCGGGGCCGGGCTGCTCAGCCAGCACCTGTGCGGGGGACCGCTGTCTTCGGAACGCCTCAGGCCTTCAGACCCGCCTCGTCCTGAACCCGCCCCGCCCCGTTCCACACGTGTCCCCCGCGCTCACATACCTGCACCTGCTGAGAGCGGTCGTATCAGCTGTTGACGTTTTCTTTACATTCGCACACAGTGCCTTACGTCACTGCCTACCACACACCCAGGACTAGCCCATTCCCAAAACAGCCTGCCAGGGGCCCGAGTCTCTTGCACTCTCTATGTGTGAACTTTCCTGGTAAGATGGGGCGAAGTTCTCATCAATTTTACAAGAGGCTTTCTGACCCCCCAATTTGTTAAGAAACACCAATACAAATTAATGCATTTACAACAATGTGCTGAGTGTGTAACTAAGAAGCCATTAGATTCTTAAAACTATACCAAGCAACCGAGGAGAAATGTTTCTTTCGTACATTCAAAATGCTATTGTTTCCATAAATACAATGTAAAATTATATCAATATCAAAAGCTGTTTTCTGCTAAAGAAATAAAATTTCTAAAACAGAAAACACTAATATAGGAAGAAATCCTTGTATGCACAAAAGTAAATTCCAAAAACAGAAATATGCTTTCAAAAATATAACAAGAAATATCCATTTAAAAAATATATATTGTTTTATTTTTATAGATATATATATATATATACACATATATATAAACATATATATAGATATAAAAAACAAGAAGTCTTCCCCAAGGTGTTTTGTTGTTTCTTTTATTTATTTCTAAAGTAAAATAAAGAAATTAAATCAAGAAACACATTAACATATGGACCAAAGGTTTATGAATACAAACAAGAAAAATATGTCCATGTTTATGAACTAAAAAAACTCATGTGTCAGTCAAATTAAATTACATTTTTAAATAAGCAGCAGCTGGGTTTTGTTTTTTTTTTCAATCCTCACCTGAGGACATTTTTCCATTTTTTGTTCAGGTAGAGTGGGAGGGGGGGAGAAAGAGAGAGAGAGAGAGAAACATCGACATGAAAGGGACACACTGAGTGGCTGCCACCCACACGACCGACCAGGGCCAGGGACAAACTGCAACCAAGGTACGTGCCCTTAGCGGGAACTGAACCCGGGTCTCTCTGGACTGCAGGCCGACGCTCTAACCGTTGAGCAAAACCGACCAGGGCAGCAGCTGGTATTTTTAAAAACACATGAACAAAAATAAAACCTAAATCATTTAGTAAGCATGTGCAAAGTTTCACAACCACCATCAGAAAAGCAAACGGCATTAAAAAGCCTTCTGAATTGTAAGGCCACATGCCTCTTTAAGAAGACTGATCAGAGCTATTAGCTCAGACTGTGGCAAATGCACTGTATCTAATCAAAATATTCCTGCAACTAAGTAATGTAGACCAGCTGGCACCTAACCAAGAGTTTTAAAGAAATAAATATAAGACTGCTGGGTTTATTATTATAAACAGCCCGCATGTCAGAAGACAAACAACTGCTAATGAAAGTGCCTTCAATAAGACAGGTTCTAAAAGAAACCCGGAAGTGACACAGTAGCTCCTCTTACTTCCAGACTGGGCAAACTGGTGTCGGACACGAATGGAAAGGTCTGGATCACGTGTCTAGAGGACCGTGGGCAGAGATCTCCTGAAGGACACAGAGCCCTCAGGAGTGGGGGAACCGCTGACAGACCAGGCACAACAAGGCCAAAGGCTGTGTGAAGAAAAGAAGCCGTTTTGTGCTGCGGCCTTAAATAGAGTATTTCTAATAACTAACACCACTCTACAATGTAGATATTTTGCTGTATTTTAAAAATAGAAAAAGATGGGTAAACAAAACTGCCCTAAGGTTACACTTAGGCAGAGCGGAGATCCGAACACAAGGAATTTGAGCAGAGAAACATGGTCCCCCAGTGTTTCTGGATGAGGTCCAGGAACACTAACCTTATTGAACAGTCTTTAAATGTCTAAAAGAGGAAATGAAATGAGAAAGCATCAAGACTCAGAAGACATTAATCTTAAAATCTTGTAGGCAAAATAACCTGCGCAGCTCGCCACCCGCTTATCTGCAGTCCCCGCTCCAGTTTCAGCCGCCCGTGGTCAAACCACAGTCTGAAAACAGTAAATGGAAAATTCCCAGAATAAACCATCTGTAAGTGCTGAAGTGTGCGCTGCTCTAGCAGCACGAGGAAACCTTTCGCAGCCCCGCTCCGTGGTGTGCGCTGCCCACCCATCGTCCCGGCCATCCGGGTTATCAGGGCACTTATCAGAGACAGAGAGAGACCA